ATATATATATATTATAGGACATATAATTCAGATCTTGATTTATTTTGACATCAGCAACTGATTTGTGTTTTAATGGCCACTCTTTAACAAGTTTTAAGTACAAGAGTTACCAACTATTACCCATTATTTCATTTCATATATTATTACTATTTATGCATGTTATTACATCTACTCTTTTGTATACTGGAAATTTTGTTTTTCACTATAGGAATATCTTCACAGCAAAGGTGTGACCCATCGAGATTTGAAGCCAGAAAACTTACTTTTGGATGCTCAAAGTAGGAAAGAGAAATTAGAACAAAAAAAATAGGTGCTGTTAAGAATATGAAATAATTTTAACTTTCAGTATATTACTCCTTCACAATTGACAGGCACCAGCACTGACAATTGAAAGTGCCCATATAAAATGATATCAAGGGTTTATTAAGAGACCCCTGCCAAATCTCTAATGATACCTGCTGTTTTGGGCACACTGCTGGTCGTTTTATTCTATTTAAGAAATAAATGTTTTATTTCAGATTCTGTTATTATTTATCATGATATTGGCTATGCAAGCAGCTGTTATTTCTATACACAGACAAGCTCATAGATGACTTCACGTGACCCTGTTGGCTGCTGTGTCTCTGATACTTTAATTTTAATTGGTCTAAACTAGCGATGTTACACGTACAGTAATGCGACATTTTTTTAACTATATTGTTGTATATAGATATCAAATATTTGAATCTGAGAATTTAAGTCTGTGTTTCAGTGTAAATTACAAAACTGAATATTAATTATTAGCAACTTCAGACAAGCAAGAAGAGTTTTTGCAAATTTAATTTTTGACCTAAATTGCAATCGATGAACTACTTTCTCATTAACACGAGGCCACGAGGGCTGCCGTATTAATTGGGGGTTGTCATACTTCAATGGCATGTTGTAAACATGCCTCAGTTTAACCACATAAACTATGTTTACAGAAAAATAGTATAGTTTGATCAATACAAAGAAATATTTATTGTCCAGTTTTTTAAACAAATAATTGAGATATGGCATCAGCCTGCTGATGGCCTCCACGGACTTTTTGTAGGGCCGTTTACAGCCATTGCTCATTTTTCAAATGTGAAGGACTGATAAATGTTGTTGTTTTTTGTTATATTATAGTGTGTACCAAAACAAATAGGCAATAATGATTAGTTTAATCAATTTTTAAACTCTTCATATTCTTAAAACTAAACCGATTATTTTTTAGTGTATTTTTAGAAATAGAAATTGTTCTTCCCTTTTATATAAATTGCAGCTTGAATATGTCTGTAGTCTGAACTGAATCTTAAGGATGAAAGTTATAAGTTAGCAATTTATTTATATTATGATGTATCAACTGTGAAAATTTATGATTTAAAATGTCCAAATATTCAAATATTACGTGATATTTGATGATATATAGATCCACTCTTTATTAATAGATATGTAAATTTAAAGCACTTTTACATTTATTTATTTAACTTGAACTTGTTTATCATTTCATTTACTGAAAAACAATGAAAATACATATATTTACTTCATGCATATAAATATATATATGATATAGTTAGAACTGATCTACCCAGCAATTTCAATTTTAAATTTTAAATAAACCTTGGTTTTTGTACAGCTTTTAAGGTCTTACCAGTCTTTTGCTACAGATTCTCAGTATAAAAGTTCTAAAATACTCTATTTTTAATGAAGATATTCTGTTGTAACTTTTAATAATAAACACTTGTTTTATGTATAGTTGTGTAAATATGTATGTTTTCACTGTAGATATACTAAAAATCTCTGACTTTGGGATGGCAACAGTATTTCGTTACCAAGGAAAAGAACGTATGTTAACCAAAAGATGTGGCACCTTGCCCTATATAGCACCAGAAGTTTTGGTTCGAGAGTATAATGCAGAACCAGCAGATATATGGAGTTGTGGTGTAATTTTGGTTGCATTGCTAGCAGGAGGTAAGGAATAGCTTTCCTTTCTTCGCCTCTCCTTGAAAGACTTTAAAAACAAGTCATTATATTGATACTCTTTCAAAGATGACATCAATATGAATACTGTCTATTGAAATAATTGGTGAACTAATCTCTCTTGCTTATGGACTAGGTGTGGCTTAGTTGATAATGTGCTGAACTGTATATTCAAGTATCTATTGTTCATGTCCTATTTCTGAGAAAAAAAGCTGTTCACTATGGGAGTTTGGTTGTGTTATAAGAGTGATAGTTATCAAAAACCACTCTTTGATTAAAATACCCCAAGAGTTGGTGGTGGCTGTTGAGTAGTGGCTTCCCTATAATTTATCAATTCAAAATTAGGGATGGCTAGTGCAAATTATCCTTGTAACCTTGCATGAACCAAAGCAAACCAATTACCTGCTCATTCATGAACTAGTCCAACAGAACTTTGAAAACATCAAACATATAAGCATGATCTGCATTGCAAACTTTTCAAGTAACTAATAACATTTAGGAGAGATGTAATTATTTAAAAAGAACTTGGGGCCTAGGTTTTGAAAGTTAAGAGACCACACAATCACCATCAGGTTTTTGTTTCCGTGAGAAGGTATTTCTTAGAAATGTTATATAAAAGTATTGATAAAATGAACAATAACTGATTGCAGGTTCCAAGATAAAAATGCAAATGTTTAAGCAATTGTGATATAAAAAAAAAAGCATCATGTTGCATGTGAAACTAGAAAGTAGCCCTAAATGATTTAGTAGTATTTGAAAAAAAATTAAATGTGTTATTCCACAATGAATATATTAAGTAACATAGTTAATATGGAAAAAAACGCAAATACATATTACTTTTTATCTCTCTTATATGTTAACAAATGTTTCTTTCATTCAATATTTTATGATGTAATGACAAACTTATTTATGCATTTATATTTCAGCAACCTAGTAATACAAATATTTATTTTTTTTGTGATATATTTATACTGAAAGTAATATTAGAAAAAGTGTAATAAAAACTTTGAGAAGAAAAAGCAATTATAGTTGGAAATAAAGTATTTCATGTTTTAAATGTGTACATGTTGTTTGCTAAATAAATTCAGAATTCTGAGACAAAAAAAATTATAAAACCCTAGAGAATTTAATAAAGAATATATAATTAACCTAGCATCTTGTATATTTTATGAAAATATTAAAATATAGTACTCATTGTATATTTATTTACTAGCTATAGTTCCAATATTTGTACAAAAAACCACATTTTTTGAAGATTTTGTCACAACTATAAACTTGACAAGTTGTAATTGATGTTTTCTGCAATTTAATTTTTGATACGTATGTCTATAAGTAGTATTTAAATGTCTATATATAATAAAAAATACTTTATTTTAGAGCTTCCTTGGGACAAACCACAGTATGATTGCAAAGAATACAGAGAGTGGGAGGAGTGTAAAGTCATTCAGTCACCATGGAATAAAATTGATAATTTAGCTTTATGTAAGTAATAAAAAAAACAGTAAAGTTCATTGTTAGTAGACCAATTTGAAATGTATGTCACATGTGTGGAGAAAGAAGTACTATTTCTTGGAAAATGGAATAATCACATATTAATTGATTTCTTGAAAAATATGTGTAATTGAAGTGTTATTTTATTGTCTTTAAACGTATTAGAGGCTTTACATTAATGATAGCCGGATAATTCAAACAAGTCAAGCTGTAGCTTCTCGTAGATGAAAGAGTCAGTGTAACAGTAGAGAGAGAGTAGTTATAATTATTGTTTTAAAACAAGTTTAGTCAGTATATTAAGTATATGCACTGTATTGTTATGGATTTCTGCATTTTGATTACTTTTAAAGACAGTGTTTGGACCCCATTCTGAGTCCTTCGAGAGATAAAGTATACTCTACCATTTGCCCAATAAAGTTGTATGGGTAAAATATTGACCACATTTTCACTTGTTACTGCTTCAGACATCTTGGTTAGTTGTGGAATAGTGTTTTAAAGTTTAATAGTCCCTGCCATTGTGAGTAGAGTTCAACAATTATCACAGATTATTTTGGTTGGATATTTAAGAACAATAAGCAAACAAAATTAAAAAAGTATTTTAACATAGTTAAATTTCTTTGCAAGTTTTGTACATGAGATATTTTTTTTCACTAAAATGTAGGTTATGATATGAAAATGTAAACATAATTCTTGTTTCAAAGAAGTAATACATGTGGTCAAACTTCACTAATTTTCTTCATGTTTGTGTGAACCAATTGAAAAACAAATAATGAATTTTCCATATAAAATTTTGAACATTTTCAAAGTTTGAATAACTTTTTATTGTTGTAAAATAACTGTACAGAAGCTATAACTTTTAAAAGATTAAACTTGGTTAGAATAAGTAACTCGTTAAGTTGCTTATGCTTTTGGATGTTTTAACTCTTTTTTCCTGTCATGTTTATTGGTAAAGAACTCTCCCAGTGCAAGGTTTATTTTTTATATAGTAAAAATTAACATGTACTTTAACTTGAAACTGGTAAGCTTTAGAAAGATTGGAAGGGAATACTCTTTCTTCATGGTAGTCCAAAATTCGAAACTTCCATGGCAGTGTTGTAGGAGGGGATATATATGTGCCCATGGCAATGAAAGAATACTGGGAATTCTGAGAGTGATCATTAGATATAGTAGCAATCAATGTTCGCTCTAATTTTTTTGAATCTATGTGCAGAATGAATTTTTTATGTTTATTAAGGCAATATGCAGATGTGTGCTACCAGTTGTTGTTGTTGTTTTTTTTTTGAGGGTGGTGGTGGTATTTTTAGACCGTCGACCCAATTGGATTATTGGGCCACCTTGCAATGCTACCAGTTGGTTATTAGGGCTTTAGACCTATTGACTGCCAGGGTCATTAAGGCCGTCAGTGTGTTGAGACTCCTCATAACTAAGGATGTGTGTGGCTGGAATAATTAAGTATGTGTCACTTGATTGGTTGTTGGGTGGCCACTCAGCTTAGAGGGAACACTGATAGCAATGCACAAATAATTCAGTCTTGTTATATTTTGTTGTAATGAAAGAACTGGTATAAACATATCTACAAACATCAGATTGAATAGCAAAGACATTTTTAAACTAAGCTATAATCTCAAGATGGAAATAAGTATTTTTTTTTGCATGAGACACAGTTTATTAACTATAATTATTTAAAACATTCTAGTTAATTGAAAATGTGAGTTGGGGGACATAAGAAAGGCTAAGACATATAAATCACTTATTTTACCCCCAGGTGAAGTAAAAAAAATATCTCCACAATATGTAAGCTGAAAGCATGATATAAGGTAGTTTTTCAGAGTTATTAAATATATTTTAGTGAAGAAATTTATGTTAAACAAGACATCTAATGTATGAGGACTAATTTTTTTTTCTTTATCTATAGTATCAACTCATTAAAATTTCAAATATTTTCTTTTATTGTATAGTTTTATTTCTACTGGTTTTCAAAATGCAAGATTCTTATGCTTCTTTCACTTGATGTATGTAGCTTATTTGAACTTAGCTGTAGTAAAAAGTCTCATTTCAGCCTGCTTCCTAAAATTTATCTCTTTCAATAAATATCCATCCAATTCAAAAGAAAAGAGGAGAGCAAATAAATAAATAACAGTGATGTTAGTGTGTTCTATCTAAGGAAAATATTTTTTTCCTGAAAGTATTGATAATGTGTTGTCAGTATTTTTTTAAGTTTAGCAGTAATGATTTTTTATTGTGCAAGAGAATCCTCAGAATAGGGTGCTATTTCTTTCTTTTTTTTTTTTCTCATTAGTTGATAAAGTAGTATAATTGATGTATCTGGCCAGTCTTGATTTCATTAAACTTACATTATTTCAAATTCTTTGTAGCTCTTCTGAGAAAAATTTTGCTGAATAGCCCTTCTAAACGCTACAACATCAGCCAAATAAAAAGTCATCAGTGGATTAATAAAAACATCAAATCCAAAGGTAAAATATGACACTGTTTTAGTTTATAGTAATTGCTTTAATGAACATGTATGTTTTTAATTAGTAGTCCAGTATATTGAGAAAAAAAACTGAAATTAGAAGCAAAGGTTAGTTTTTTTTACTGCAGGCCACCAAATGAGTTATACAGTTAAACAAAAAATATTAATAGAGAAATACATTGGAAATGAACAGTGTATATATATATATATATTATAAATAAATAAAAATACATTTCTGAAGCTCCAAAGAAGAGGAATTTTTAAAGAAAAAAATCCAAAATTATGAAAAAAAAAACTGTTGGGAACCTATATGTATACATTTCAAGTATCATGCTTTTGGGTTACAGTTGTTATAAGGATAATTACAGGCCATTTGACTGATACTTTGAACACACATTTCTCTTTTCCCTGATAGGGCTTTTAACCATCTTTTTGTAATTTCAGGTTTTATTGGAATGAAGTTGAATTTATCATTTGATTATTCATAGTAGTAAGTTTTTTTCATACAACTAAAAACATAATTCTAAATAGGCTTATTAATTGAAGCATAAAAGTATCCAAACCTAAGAATTGAACTGAAGAACTTATAAAATCATTGATAGGTTTTGGCTTTCCATAGACTGATATTCAAAGCCATAACATTGATTAGTAACAGTCTAGATACCACTTCATTTTTGAAACTTGAAGCAAATACACAAATATTGTTGGATGCTAAATTAAAGTGATGATACAAACTTTTACAGCAGAATTATGTTTGTATTTTGTTAAAGTTTGGATGTAAAATAATATGTCAATAATAAGTCAATGTGAATCTTGTAACCTATACCTGATGTAAAAAAACTGGTTATTCAATCAGTTTGAGTCTTATAATCACTACCTGATCTAATCAACTGGTTTGTCAGTCAGTGTAAATCTGGTAACTTCTACTTGATGTGACTGACTGGCTAGTCATCATGATTTTCTAACTTCTTCCTGGTGTAAATCTCTTAATGACTCTTCAAAATCAACTGATTAGTCAGGCTAATTTTTTTTGCACAAATTATAAGCTAGTTTATTGTACCATCAGCTGAGTTCTGCTGCAAAATACTAATGATAGCTTAATAAATTTTTATTTGTAGGGATTTGAATCCTCACAAATACATTGTTCTAGATTTTGCCTTGACACAAATGGATATTTTGAGATCATGTGTAAATACTACATTTTATAGGTTTTGTTGTTTGTATCATGCTCTTTTGACTACAATACATAAGCATTTTGTGTTAGTTGGCATTAAGTTGAATTCATGGAGGGATTTTAAAAGTTTTGAAGGTTTGATTCTGATTGGTTAAAGTGAAGAATGAAGTTAAGGTAAATTGCATATTGATTCTGTAAATTTGTACTAAGTAAAGGTGTATTTTTAAAGTAAAATGGAATACTTCCACATTTATAAAAATAAACCTTGATTAGTACAGTTATTTGCATAACTGTTAAGTTTAAATTCATGAACTTAGTTTTGCTTTCATGATCTTTATGATTTTCATCCTGTGTGATTTTTTTTAGTTGTTTCATATACTTCGGAACTACTGATATCATAAATAACAAGAATATTTATTAAAAAATTATTTTTTGTAATAATTTCAGTTTTTTTGTAGGTTTTCAAACCTTTGAAAGTACTTAATTTGAAATATTATTTCTCTTCCAAACATTATTCTGTTTTCACTAACAGTACTTAGTTTGAAATATTATTTATCTTCCGAACATTATTCTGTTTTCACCAACAGCTCTGTTTAAATTATCAACTTCAAATAATGATTATATTTCACGGAAACGAACCTGCTCAGAAATTGATCATCCAGCAGTTTCAGGAAGGTAAGTGTTAAAATAAACTGAAGAAACCCTTTCACGTTTGTACAATTCCATGATATGCCTTTCTAGTTTTAGCTCATTATTATCAAATAAGTGTTTATTTAGTGGTTTTATTTGTATTTTGTCATGCAACATAACAGAAAAACAAAAACAGATATCTTGATTCATGTCTGTTTCAGACACTAATTATAGTATTTTGTTGGAACCCTGTAAGAATATCCGCATGGTTTAAATTTAATTTATATTTGGTCATGTGATTTTTTTATATTTGCTGCTTTCATGTTAAAAAACACTTGATAGGATAGTTGTTAGATATTGAATCAATTTTTTTAAAATCAAATATATGTATACTGGTACTTCAAATTTTGTTTATCCTGTAACACAGTTTTATCATATAGATTGTTATGAGCAAAAAGGTTTGTACATAGAAAATTTTAGAGTATGTAATGGTACTCCTGTAATTTTATTAGAGATAAAAGGTCAGCCTGGGTGCCATGTTGTTCATAGAAAAGCAAGTTGTACACAACAGCATAAGTATCTGTTTTTTATTTTAAAGTTGTGAAGGAACTCTTGACTACTTAAGTAGACAAAGTATTCCCTTAGTTAGATAGCCGTTACCGGAATTTGAATTGCAAGATAATATCTCAAGGTTACCACAAGTAAACGAAACATTGTTTTTGAATTTTTACTTTTTATAATACTTAAACCAAAGTAACATTGTCACAGGTGGGGCCTAGTGAATTGGTTTTCATGTTATTTTTAATTTGTATCTTTATCATTTATTTTTATTATATTTCTGATTATAAATCATTAAAGATAGAAGATATTATACAAAGTTTATGTAAGTGCACTATTTATCTACAGGCTTTAGTTAACCTGCATCTTTCATTCATATAGTGATGAAAACACTAGTTTATTACTTGGAATAAATTAAAAAAACAAAACAAAATGTATTTTACGTTATCAAGTGAATGTTACTGTAGGATACTGTATACCACATTATAGGCTAGAATGTATTAGAAAGGTTTTAACTGTATTTTTACCAGTGTGTGCTTTATATGCTGTACAAATAAAACTATTGTAGTCATATATAATGGTTTGTTAGTTATTTCCCCATTTATTTGTTTTTGCAATTTCATTGTAGAGATACAGTACCTTGTTAATTTTTAACAATTTAAAGTTATATCACTTTCACACAAATTTGGACTTGACTGTATGAAGTTTTATTTTGGCAACAAGGCCACTGCTATTAGGTCATATTTACATTTTCTTTACTGAGCTAAGTAACTGCTTGAATGGGGAAAGAAAATCACTAATAACAAGTGTAAAAAAAAAAGAGATATGTAAATAAACATAAAATTGTTTTAAAAATGATTACATATATTAACTCTAGTCTGACTCTGTGAAGAAACGTGAGAGGTGTAGCATAAGTGGGAGGTCACTTCGGGACCACTGTTGAATTACCACTACTTTTATCGTTTCTTTACTGACTCGGTGAAGTGAAGAGCAGACTGCAAGCAAGGTCCATGGTTCTAGTCCTAAGTGCCAGGCCATCACGTGCTGCACAATTTGCTCTAAGTTCAGTGTTAGGCAGTTTAATTTTGTGTTCCTAAGTTACTGTTGACCATTACTATTTCATATGGCAACATCTGTCAATTTAGAGGGTTAGAAAAGCTGTAACTGAAAATACCCTATGCAGTTTGGGATACTTACATTATGACTTTCTGCCAACAACTGGCTCTTCAAGTTGACAGCATTGGATGGTAGATGCTTGCATAGCATATGAATCCTAGACTATACTATGATCCAACCTCTTTGTTTATGCATCTAAAGAATGCTAATCCTTTTGTTTTTTAACCCCACTTGTAGTGTGTTTGCTAACTCCAGAATCTTAGAGAAACAATAAATGTTTCTCTAAATATCTAATTGCTTAACTGATGCTACAGGTTATAAAGCAGGTATATCCCAAGCATTTGTAATGTATGTAACTATCATAAGAATTATAAAGGTCTCAGCAATTTATGAAAAGAACAATAGAAGAAAACTTATACTGATATGTGCAAGTAAAGGAATTCTTCCAATGTATTTTTAAGAAGGGCAGGGATACATGATTAGTTTTAAAGATAATCAGTCGTCATTCAGAGATATTTATGTCAATCATTAATTTTTTAATTTTTCTTTTTTATTACATATTTTTTAATATTGATAGATAACTTAGACATAATATTTCTATAAAAAAAGTGCAAACCAGTTAATATCATGTTGTTTTAGGATGTTTTTCTTAACAAAGATGGTCATATGCTGCTTGGTTTGCTAGGAATTATTAGGATTTTTGAAAACGTATGTTTTTATCAGTGGTTAGTCAGCAATCAGATTGCAATGTAATTAAATTGTAGTTGAAAAAACAACTTAGAATTGCTGGTTTTGGACACACACACACACGTTACTAATTGCATCATTTCCAGAGTTATGTGTGTGTGTGTGATGTAAAATGGCTGCAGTTTGTTAAAATTTATTTGTAGTTTATTACCTTCATGAAAATATTTTTTGTTACCACAGGGATGAAGTGGTTATTCGTTTATCTAGCTCACAGCCTGAGCCCTTTATTAGTGATGATTCTCAAGTAGAAGGCAGTGAACTTTCCATAAGGAATGTGGTTCCATATTGCACAAGTTTCTCACAACCTGTTCATCCAGAACATATGCTACTAAGTAGTCAATTACAGGCTACCCCAGGATCCTCACAAGTTTGTGTTTTATCCTATATTATTACATTTGTGGATTACACATTTTTAGAATAGTATTTGAATACAATATTTTAAGACTCTAAAAAAGCTTAAAAATTATCTTGTTATATTTTTTCTTTCTTAATTACTGTTATGACAGAAAACTTAGCTGTACCATACTTTCAGTTCAGTGGTAAAAAGAAATAACTTCTTTCTTTGTAACTTAATTCTAATACATCAACTTTTTGAAACATATTTTCATTTTATTTTGAAATGTTACAGTTCTTTAGTGTAGGATAAATCGGTAGGTGAGCAAGGCTGTATGGCTGAATGTATCAATGAGTAGAGATACTTAAGAAAGCCCAGCTTCATCACCTCTAATATGCTGACAGAGCCTTAGAATTTAATGTATATATTCATTTATGTGTTGTCTTTTCTTACCATTTAGAAGTAATTAAGTTTATATTTCTGGTACGTAAAGATAAATATTATATATATATATATATATATATATAAGTTAATGAATAAATTTCTTGTTTCTTAAACTCTTAATTAAAAGTAAGGGAGTTAATGTGTCTGTCATCAAATTCTAGTCTCCAATGCAAAGACTTGTCAAAAGGATGACAAGATTTTTTGTGAGCACTGATCTGGAAATGACACTAAAGGAGCTCTCTGCTGTTTTTGAAAAGTTAGGATACAGTTGGAAAGAGAATTCTGGACAGGTCAGCTTTTATTAGTAATATGGTTTTATGTAAATTTCGTTAATGAGAATATTAATGTTTTTTATTTAAAACATTTTACTGTAAAGAGGATAAATAAGACAATGTTTACTGGAGAGAATTTTAGTGATTTGTTTAAGAAATTAACATGTTTTTTAGGATTTTGAATTTTCCTTTTTTAGCTTTCTGTTCTCTGAATTGTCTTTTATCTCTCTAGAATATTATGCACTTTGTTGGGTATTTAGATAGATTAAGAATTTTTTTTGTTGCTACAAATCATATGTGAATGGCACACCCACATTGCCTTTGGGAGTATTTTATTATATCTAGTGCTAACTGCCTAGTGATTAATTGAAATTTTGGTTATGAAAATAAACAGAGAAATTAACTTTATATGATTACTTAATAACACATTTCAGTTCGATTGGTAAATAAAACTGAGCTCCATTTGTGTGTTCACTCACAGAGAAGCACTTTGAGCTGCTTTTATTATAATGTTATTGCATGTCTACAGGGCTTACAGAAGAAATGAAAATGAACATTTTGTTTCTTCTTGATGTTGAACTATGCACTAAAAACTAAGAAATGTTAAATACAATACACTACCACTCACATATATTATTATTTTTCCAGTTACCTCTGTTCCAGACAACACTAGTGCATTAAATTAATTGATTTCATTTGGTAAGAAATGTGAGTTCTTATATGCCAAGCCACTTTGGTATCTGTATTTGTGGGGAGAAAGAACAGTCAACTATTCAAAAGTGCTCAAGTTTTGGGTTTTTTTTTGGAATTCATTGCACTTTTTGTATGTGATTCTGTGAGCTAACTCTTCTATTAAAATAGATGTTATAGATTTAGTGATGTATATAGTGAGTAAATAGAAATTTGCATCTAAATGTTTTGCATCTCATCCATCTAACCTGAGTTTATTGTGGTGTAAGTTAAAGCTCTGGTACCAATCATGTTAAGATGTGGATGTTGTTTGAATCTCATGTGTTGTAACTAAACTTACTTAATAAGCATTGGTATTCATTGATCAACAGTGATTTCCAAAAAAAAACAATATAGTTGAAATGCTAGTAAAGTACTTTTAGTTCTTAGTAAACAAGTAAAAATAGATTAGTATGTCAGCAAAAAATATAGGCAGTCTCATTGTGTTAGTTTTTAACACTTGTTAAATATTTACCCTAATATTGTGTTTTGATGTAATATTTTAAGAATTTTCAAGTTATAGAATCTAAAACTAGCTATAAAGACCTGTCTTATAATTGCTTTTGCTCTAAATTTGAATCAAAATGTATGCAATTGTGTGGGAAATGCTGTTAAAAATCCAGTAATGGTTGCAAACTAAGAAAAATGTTGTTAGGTTTTACTTTTCTTATTTTATCTTCTTATACTTTTTTATGATTAATCCAAAAGAAATTAATATTTATGCTAATATCAAACATGTTATTATCTATAATTTACATTTGATAACTTATCTTAAGATAAACATAACAATAAATTGTGTACGCAGACTACCATACCTTATGGGATAGAACATTCAGTTAAAAGATAGCTTTGGTTCTAAAACACTATGCTGAAAGTATCAATATTTATCAAACTTTCTCTGAATCGCTTAATCTTAAAAAGTTTGATTGTGTGTTTTGAATGATGTTTAGTGTAGTGGTTATTGGATAATTTCAATATAACAGATGCTGTAGAATTGGAAAAACGTCTATATTGAAATTATATAGAAAATAAAATACTTGAGATTTGGGATTTATTCAAGGAAAAAAGTATTAAATTTTATATGTAACAAATTTGGATTGATTTCAGCACACTCGAAGTTAAATTATTAGTGTTTGAGAATTTCATGAATTGTGTCTGAGCTTAATGTGGAACTCATAGTCTCATAGGAGGAGAGTCATAACTTTGAACAAAATAGCACTGATTTGATCTCTTAACTTGAATACAAGTGTAGTTTTATAAATTTTTATCCAGTTGCTGTTCATTTACATCAGCTGTCATGCTGTGATATAATTACCTTTATCTTAGCTTCAAGAAATCATAGGGTACTGATTGAACCACATTTTTTGTTCGTTTGATCTATAAAAATAATCTTTCAGTTTAGCATTAATTTGCATAGAAGTTGCAACAAAAAACGGAGATGGGTGATATGCTACTTGAAGAAAAGTTGTATATGAACAACTCCCACTACATTTACAGTCTTGATTTCTTTTATAAGCTTGTGAAAAGCTTGCTTTATCATTTTATACTTTTTAAAAGGATAAAATTCTAATTATTTGTGTGAATACTGTTTTGAGACTGTTGTTGATCATTTGAGTGTTTTAATTATTTTATACTTCATTTAAGTTATGATGTTGAAGTCTGGTAAGAAAAGAAATGTATTTTATGAAACATGATGAGGTAGAATTAATTAAATCATTTTGCAGTTGACCATATCTAGTTTTGTTTTGCTGACAAGGCTGATGTGTTAGGCATTGTTTACATTTGGCCATATAGGCCTAGGTAACTGCTTGAATGGGCAAAGAAAATAACTTAAAAGAAATATAAAAACAAATACATAAATGAATGTAAAATAGGTTTAAAACTTTTACATATATTGAATGAAATTTTCTGATTAACAATTTAAAGAAAAAGTTAGAGTTGCTTATAATTTGACATGGTAAAAAGTTATTTTTGTTGTCGCTAGTTATTGTAAATACTGAAACAGTGTGCTTTGTTTTTCAATCAAACCATTATATAATTTATAAAATAAAAGGAAAGTTTTAAAAGAATGTAGGAAGACATAAAAGTCAGTAATTAAAATCTACAACAAAGGTTAGCATTTTTAACTGTTTCTTAAAAAAATGTTACTATGTTTACAATTAAATCTTTTTGAAACTTCAAAGCTGCAAATTTATAAAAAATATCACATATAAAAATAAGATTTCAATTTCAGAGCTATGTATGTAGTAAACTTCCATGAATTTTTCAAATGCATAATATAACTATTAGTAGAGTTATTATGGTGTGTTATGTAGTAGAGTTATTAACTTTTTATACAGGTTTCATACTAGTTTCATCAGGATCCCAATACTGATTTTGCTTTTAGTGCTAAGTAATATAAATATTCCAAATATTAACTGAAGCTTTTGTTCATTTTAAAAAAAAATAATAATTGTGCTCATTTTAACTGAAAAGCCCTGACTTTGTTCCTTGGAAACTAGAAATACTTAACTATTGTGAAAAATTGAATTGACAATTTCTCAAAAGAAATTTTTTAAATGGATGAATTTTCCCAATTGAAAGACATTGTTAAAACTTAGGGAGTAAACCATGTCATAAATGTTTTGTTAGTGATTTTAAACTCACTATATATATATATATTCTGCTAAGTGTGACTATACACTTACTAAATGTCAAAAAATAGTGAACAATGTACATCCTCATTATGAGTATAAATTATCCATAGCATCTTTTTAATAGTTCACAACATGTATACACAGAAGATTTGATCCATACAAACACATACTAGTATTGTTCTATAGTTATCAGTCCATAGTAAAATAATATAGAAACAATTATTATTCCATTATTATTATTAGTCCTTTATGAAAGTATTGTGGACATGTTGATTGTCCTTTAGCCACTATATCATTAAAAGTGTAATACTAATATGCAAGTTTTCTTTTATTCATTATTTCTTTATAAAGTAATGTAAATGCACTGGTTAAGGAAGTAATGTGGACACATCCTGTAGCCACGCAGTCATTAGTGCACTGCTACAATAATTATATTATTTATATAGTTTAAAATTAGTTGAATCTTGTAAAAATGTCAATTGTGATCATTTAGCACAAAACCCACCTAATTTTAGTCAGTAAGTTTAAGAACTATAGAATTCCTTATATTAATGTAACTTCTTGTTCAAGGTTGTTTGATTTAAAATATTGTAAGACAGAAAAATAAACATTTCATCAATTGTCTTCCCCAGGATAAAGTATAAATGATAAAATGTTTATAGAATTTGGCAATAGAATTGATCTTATCCCTTCTCTTTCTTTTATATATAGATTACAGTAACTACTCAGGATCGACGAAAGATGATGCTTACATTCAAGGCTAATCTTATAGAAATGACTGATATACTTGTAGACTTCAGATTATCAAGAGTAAGTTTAGAGTTTAAGTTCATAAAGTATTCTTGTTGAATTATAGGAATATTGCAAATGTATCGCTGAAAAATTTAAGAGATTTATTTATTATTATTATTATTACAAATAATATAGAAATTATTTATTTTGGTGTACTTGCAACTGCTGTGTATTGTCTCAGTATTGTTTGTGGACTTTCAACAAAGTAAGAATAATTTTACACCAAAATAATTTATTTACTCGAAGTGAGAGAAATGGTTTTAGAAGTCCCTGAAAAAAAAACTTGAGTATATAACAGTTAGAACAGTAATACACTTCGTGGTCTTGGTTAAAATATGTTGGATATGTTCTGAACATATGTTCTGCTTATATTACATCAATTTCTACTTTCATTAGAGTATATTAAGTGCCTAAAAGTCTTTTTTGATAGCTAAATTTTTATTTTACAAAATCTACACTGATATTAACAATAAGCATAATCATTAAGTTTAATGCATGACTTTTGTCTTGTTTGTATTGCTCTGTCTTACTTCACCAACATCAATGGTTCAACTGTCTCTTATTGAAAGCATATTTTCCTTGCAAATTTTCTCCATAACTGTCTGATTACTTGAACAGTTATGGTTTCTCAGCTTTAGATAATGGTGTTTTTACAATTAATAGATTCTCTTATAATCATGTTACAAGTCAAAATATTAAACATAGCAACTTTTTAGTCTGCAGTGAAATGTGTATGTATGTCTCAATATAATCTGAGACTTAACTTGTACTACTATTTCTTCTGTACTAAACCCTTGCCAGTCAGAGTTTTAGAAGTGAAGACTTTCACTGAATTTTCTGATTATGATCTTTCACATTAAGACTCACATCTTATGTCATTTATGAAGAACAGTATATTTTCAATAATTCTTCATTTGCTTTAACTATTACATTTTTTTTAAAGAGAGAGATGTTTTTAGAAAAATAAAAGGACTGGACCTTGGATGTCTTGTTCTGAAAAAAATAAACACTTTCAGTAAAGTTGTTGTTGTAAAAGCATTTTTGCTTCCCTTGTTTTAACAGCTGATTATAACAGATACAATTTATGCTAGTGGAAGAATGTAAGCTGAGAATACAGAAAAGATCAGTTTAACAATAGCATCCTTCCTTTTTCTGATGTAGTGCCTTGTCAAAGTAGTTAGATGCTAAATGGTTCACACATAATATAATTAACAATGAATATGTCATGTTTTTTTTTGTACCTCCCCCACTTCCAGTGTGGTTAGATGTGACCTGACCAATCTCGAAGCGGTTAACAGCTATAAGATTAGAAAGGGTGCTAGTTACGATAGGGGTAGTGTTGCACTGCTATTGGTGGAAGATTGCTGCATAATCATTTGCATGTTAGTATGCAGAGATAAGTGGGAGTATCAAGGCTATTGGCGAGCAAAAATTTGTGCTGATAGAGAACAGTACAAGTCGAGAAAGGTTTTGTGAGAGAAGGTATCTGTCTGAAATACATTTCCAGTTTAAGAAAATGTTAACTTTCTGAAACCATTGACCTAGGTATATTTCAAAGATTTATAATGTGAATGGCAGTTCTCCAACATCAGATATCTAGGCATGCTGAACAAAACAAAAATTAGATTCATTAGTTTTAAAAGACAGGACACTGGATCACAGAGCATATGAGTTTGCAACATGCTGCTCCTTTAGCAACAAAGACATACTGGTGATACAATAGGGAAAACGTTAGAAGATCTAATGATTATATGAGAAATGAAAAAAAATCATAGAGCAAATATTGTGAAAGGTTCTAATGATGCTGGATTGTTAAGTAAATTATTTACTCCACATAACACAACAAATGATCTTGAATGCTTTTCCTTTAAAAAACTAAAGTTGCTGATGCCTTATTATTTAGTAAAAGAGTGATAGAAATAAACTAAATTAAATGTGATTTGGAAAACCAAACTATTCGTCTACCATACTAAAATTATTCAAATTCATTTGAAGTTTAACAAGATTTGTTTGTTTGATATAAGAGAAGAGGATCATATACTTTGGACAATGGATTTATACCAAACGAAAACAAAACATATATTATTGATAACTGAATTTGTTTAATAATTTTTGTAATCTTTACTTAAAAAAAAAATCAAACATATTAGTGTAATGGCTATTGTGCATTAATGAAATAATTGACCCTATGTGTGTTAGTTACTTTGTTATTTACAACTTCCTATAGAATATTTTAGGTTAAATGTTGTACTGTTCATAATAAATGATAGGAAAATTTCAACTATTCAGCTGCTGAATAAGTACTACTATCCCACAAATTAATCAATTAGGCTGGATACCAAATATTAGCAGATGTTTCATTGTCACACATTCCATTTTTGGTGTGCGGGCATGAGTCTGATTTTGTTATTTCTTGCATGTTAGTTGGCGAAACCATCTATTAATGAAAGTATTTTATCTAGCCTTGTTTTAAGGATCTTACCCCCCTATATTGGAATTATTATCCTGTAATTAATCCAGATTGTGTGTCTGCATCCAAGATATTTATAGTTTATTTTTTCTTCTTTGTCTCAAGTAAGACAATAACTTTGCTATCACATGAAATTTTGGTTTGTTATTGTGTGTTTTAAATAATCAGATATATTTTATGAAAAACTTACTATTATTACTTCTTATGAATATTACTGCTTTGGAACTTGTTGAGCTATTTCACCATTTTCTCATTCTTCACATACCTGCCTCATTCTTCTTTTTTTTCATAAAAGACTCAACAGTTTCTAAATTTTTAGAGATTTTTGATAGATTCTGGCTTGCAGGGTAATCTGACAACTTAATTTTTTGTTTGTGAGATGTTATTTCTGAAATACAAGTTGAGCATCTTTGAGTAGAATTGTACTGAATAGAATTGCTCTAGCAATATCCACCTACATTGTACACACTAAGAATAAACTGATTCCTTGATCAACAGACAGGATAAGGTGGAAAGATAGTAATTAAATGAGAACAGACCTTTGCTGCATGGAAAATGGAGCTTGATGATGATGTTTCATCAAAAATGTCGTGTGGGAAAAGGATTGAATCAATTTGAGTAACTAGTGTGTCTTACATATTTAGGAATCTTTTAAAAAGAACACTGTTGTTGAATGTAAGCCAAAGAATCTGTTGATTTTTGTAGAGGTGGAAGAGTCAAATTAAAAGTGGAGGGCCCAAGATTTATTTGACCAAGCAAAATGAATGATTGTGCACTGCAGTTACGTCCAACACGGCTGGGGTCCACAGCTTGCTTTAGGGCCCTGGAAGCTCTTGGGCTCTAGATTAAATTTTATACATTCTCCTACTTTTCATGATAGTAATTTCCTAATTTTCATGCATATTTACTGGGACAGATTGAAAAGTGAGGGAGGGGGGTTGCTTCCTATACTACTGTTTTGTCTAGTTAATATTGAATACCACTGAAACATGTCTCTAGTCTTTAATAAGTTTGGTATTAGGCTTTACATGGTCTACTTACAAACTGGTCACCAGATTTGTATGGGTACTAGATTATATCTTACTATCCTAACATCTCACTTATTCAATGTAGATAGAATTGTCCTGGCAAAGGCCACATGTTCTCTCTTCTGAAAAGGGTCACATTCATTTTCTGCATAGATCTGTTCATATGAGATCAACATAGTTTCTTCATGCAGAAGTATGTATTTCTTTAAAGAATAAATGAAAAAAAAGAAGACAATTGTGATTGTGTGAGTTGCCTGTTTTTAATGCATTGATGGTGAAACTATTTTCTTTTCTTTTGTGTTTGTTTCAATAAAAAGGTAACTTTTTGTATATTTGTATGTATAAATTAATGTGTGTGCATTATTTTGAGAGTATTTATTCCAATTAATTAACATGAAACTGTTGTATTTCTGTCAGGGTGATGGCCTAGAGTTTAAGCGCCACTTTTTAGTTATCCGAAACCTACTACACGATATTATAGTAAAAGGACCAATTATGTGGCCTTTAGCTGTCACAACAGAAATGTAATCAACTCCTGATCACTACAGTAAGAAGAGAAGACTACCAAAGAAAAAATTTCTACTTTGTAGCTTTGGTTACAGTGATTTAGCAAGAAAAAGAAAGTTTCCTATGTTAAGAAATTAAGAGTGTTGGTAATTCCTAGTGATTACATTTATGGTAAATTCAGATTTAACAAGATCATTTTTCTAATGTATATTTTGCTCACAGAGAGGGAGTTTTTATTATTTTTGTAGGATTTTGTTTGGAAATTCATCACCTATTTTAAGTATATTCTAGAATTATGTTTTAGTTGTTGTTATCTTTGGTATTCCATTTTCATTTTAAAGAAAGTGTGTATAGGTGAATTTTAAATATTCAGCCAAATGTCCCTCTTCGAATAGACAAACAAAATTTTTTGATTCAAGTTTTCAGTCTGACATTCCTTTTTTTTTATATTTTGTTAGTCAAGTTTGTGATATGAGGTGCCTTTTTTTTACACTTACTATGTTGTACTTTTCGGAGAATGGAGGTGTTGCCTTTTTCTGTATGAAGTTGTTAAAGATTAAAGGTATTTTTCTATTTGAAATATTTTGTGATGAAACTTTTCTATAAAGTTTTTGTAAGTGTATTAATTTTGCTTGCGTTCTGAAATACCCCTTACACCGATTAGTCTAAAGCTTAATAAAGAACAAGTGAAATTAAGGAAGAAATATTTTTTTGCTAATTTGCAGTGCCATAAAATACTATTATTTTTATAATTATAGACAAATATTTGAAGAATTCTTCTTATCATTTCACTGTAATTATTTTGTATACTTTTAACTAAAAATAGCTATTTTGTTTTTTCATAAGAACAAGAATGTACAAAAAATGTAGCTTGAAAAAGGGTAAATAATGATTTTGTGGTAAACAAATTTAACAATTTATGGTTAACTTCTTGCAGGCTAATTTTGAAGCTATTCATACTCATAGAATCAACAAATGTTACAGATGACACTAGTAAAATGTTAAACAGTCACTTTTTGTTAACCTTTTGTTTTCATAACTTGTTACTTCTTTTCTTGGTTTTATTTTAATTTTTTTACCTTGAACATAAGTGAATGCTTGCTCTGCTGACCTCATTTACTTTAACTGTCTTGTTATAGTTCTAATTCAATGAAATGCCATGTTTTTGCTTAGATTCATAATCAGTGTTAACTTTCAGAAAGACTTGTTTGCAAGTTTGTCACCTGAACCTAAATTACAATTCAAAGTATGCCATTTGAAATGTGGATTGAGATTGTCTTACTTTGATAATATCTTTCACAAGTAGTAAGAAATAATATGCTTGAGAAACTAGTGAATCTATGGATAGCTATTTTTAATTTGTTTTGCATGCAAACATATTTCCTAGTTAAAATATGAAAACCTTTATGACCCAAAACTGAAGAAGATATATATGTATATATAAGCTTTGAAAAAGATAAACTCTGAATCTGAGTTTTTTTATGTTATTACTGAAGAACAAAATAGTGATTTTCAACAACTAAGTGATACTTACAGGATGGAGTGTCATTTTTTGTAGAATGCAACATTTTTTTGTATTTCATTAAGAGAAGAATAAATTGGTTATTTTGTACTGTTTTCTATATTTTTCATTATTAATGTCATGTGTTTATGCACTTTGATTCAACAGTAATTAAAATATTAAAAACAAAGAATAAGATGAAATCATGTCATTGCAACAGGAAATTTTTGTCATTAATAATTTGAAAATAAAACTCATTTCCACTGTTCAGACAACTTAATGGTTCTTTAACCAGAATTCATTGCTTTGCTAATTTGCAATATTTATCAAAAACATTGCTCCCATTATAAAATTACTTGCATTTGTATTTATTATGTAGTGGTAAGTTCCTTTTTCACTTTGTTGAATACTTATTCACAATAGGCAGTCCAGGAAAACTTGTTTAGTTTCTTTAGTAGTTTGTATAGAAGATGAGCTATGTCAAAGAATTTTACTAAATGATGATAGTAGGAGCACAGTCTTGTTTGTGTCTGTTGACATTCACTCTCCACTGACTTTGTCTAAGAATACTTCTTTCACTTTCTTCAACTGATTAACTACTTTTTCATCTATTCACTTAAGATTTTCCCCTGTTTGATTAATTTGAGAGCCTCAGATTGTTTTGTAACTGGTCAAATGATGTATTGGGGCTGCATCATTTGTACAGCCAAAGTCATGAGGCTCACTGGAAAAGGTATCTTAGTATTCTATGAGTAAAACATGTAACTTATGGCACTGATCAGTTGCAAGACTTTCAAACTTTTTGCCTGTAAAAGAGCTCCTGTAAATGAGATAAATTTTTTCACATGTGAAAACTTAACATCAGACTTCCTAGTTTATAAGGTGTGGAAGTATTACCTATACAACTTCATATTTTACAATGTTCTATTCAGAACCAACATGAATTTCATAGTTTATTGTGTTCATTGCCCTTCAAATGACATTCTTATTCAACATATCCACAAGAGCTCATCCAAATAGTAATCTTAAGATAAGCTAGTGTTTAGTTCTACTATGTGCCAGCACTAGGTCTAAAGTTATTTTATAAGTATTTAACTTTTTAATGGTATAAACACTCCTCTCCTTGTTTTCACTGGAACTTCAATCTCAGATTTTATTGTTGTGCAGTATATGATGCCCAAAGACTGGTATTCTATTCTATTATTCCTTGTTTTTTTTCATGGATTCTACTTCTTTGAAAACCTCAAAAAATCGATGTTTTTTTTTTGCCTCAGGGGGAAGTGAAGATATAGCCTATCCTTCGTCAAGACTGTTTATGTAAGTAACCTTCTAGAAGTAACCCTATTACAGAACTTAGCAGTTATACAGGAGTAAACTTCAAAAATCAATGTTGGTCATCCTGAGTTGGGGTTAGCATGTAATGATAGTGACATTGTTGTTATAAAAATGCTAATGCGAAAGATTCCTCCGTGTCAGAAATATTATGGCAAAATTGATTATCTGCTAAGACTTTGCTTCTGGAATGTTAGAACTATGCAAAAAGATGGAATTTTGGAACAGATGTTTGTGAAATATAAAATGGATCTTGGTGATAAAGATTTACAGAATCTGGTAGAAAACACTAAATGACAATAATATACTTCTTTACCGTGGCAGAATTGGTATGCTGTGTAAAGATGGTGTTGGACTCTTGATAAGTAAAAAAAAAAAGTGTTAACAGATTGGAATCCTGTTAATCCAAGGATTTTATCTGCAAAGTTTTAAGCCTTAAACAATGTAATATTAGAATAATATGTTAAGCACTAACTAATGAATGTGATGATGAGCAGAAAGGTGAATTTTATGATGCTCTACAAAGTGAAGTGGATGAAGTGACTGGAAGATAGGTTTAAATAAGCCTTGGTGATACGATTGCTAATATTGGCAATAGAAATCATGGAATTGAAAAAATTATGGCTGTACAAGGAATGAGTGAAGTAAACAATAATGGCAGCTGTTTTATCAATTTTCGTGCACAAAATAATCTAGTCATTGGTAGAAGTATATTTGAGCATAAAGATATACATAAATATAGTTGGATATCACCAGGTGGTGAGATCAAAAATTAAACTGATCATTTAGCTACTTTTGGTAAAGTGAAGAAATACTCAATTATATGTCCTTGGAGCAGATATTGGTATTGATCACTGATTGATATTAGTAGAGTACTACAAGAATCTAAAAAACGAATTTGTTTTGGAGTATTGAAATAGATTTACAGTATTATAAACTATGGATAATGATAATGTAGACAGCACAGTTGAAGTTTAAACACTATAATATGAAATTTATAAAACATATAAGGAAGCTGGATATTCAGTAAAGCATGAAAGAAAAGCTTGAATATCAGATGAAATGTCAAGATATGAATGGGTCAATTACTGTAGTTTACACAAAGCAATTAAAAGACTAGGATGAAGGGAAAAGTGAAATTATGACAATCTCACTGATGAAGCTCATCAGGGAATTTTATGGAGGCAAGGGTAACTCATTAATTTATTCAAGAGATCATTGGGAATAGAAGAACAATGAAGAAATTATCAGTTAGAGATCATAATGAAGTAAAGATAGCAGGTGAGGTAGGAATTATATTGAGATGGAAGGGGCACTTCAAAGAAATTGTGAATTGGTTAAATTAGGATGATGGAAATACCTCCAAATGAACTGAATAAAGACTGCAATGAAATTAACATTGAAAAAATAGGGAAGTTGAACAACTTGAAGGTGCCTGGAAGTAATAGAGTTTCAGGTGAAATGCTAAAAGTTGATAATAACTAAACACAAAGAATGTGATGAAATTATTTAATAAGACATGGAGAACTGGGGTGATACAAGACGATTTGAAACATCGAATTGTTATAAAGATATCGAAGAATGAGGACTAATTGGTATGTGGAAACTGGAGAGGAATTACCCTCATATCTACTGTTGCTAAAGCTTTTAGTCTTTTCCTTCTAAATAGAATACAAAAAGAATTGTATAACGAATTGCATGATGAACAGGCAGGTCTCAGGTGTGGACATAAGAGACCAAATATTTGAACTGAGGTAAAAATAAAGTGTTGAATTTAGAAGACTTCTTGTTATGGCCTTTGTTGACTTTGAGAAAGTTTTCAATTGTATCAACAGGGAGATAATATGGAAAATACCGAGATATTATGGTCTTCCTCAAAAATATGTTGATCTACTTAAAGCATTGCACATAGGAACTAAATATCAACTGTTAGTTAACAGGGGAATCCTATTGCCTCTGTGGTTTGTATGTGTGATGGATTATGTAATAAAGAGAACAGTCCAAAATAAGCAAAAAAGTATTCTATGGGTTGATGATCAGTATTTGACTGATTTATGCAGATGATACCATTATCTTAAGTGAAAATTTGAACACACTGCAAATGATTTGGATAGATTTGCAAAAAAAGATAGGTATCAAGATAAACAAAAATTACAGCAACTGAAACACTGTACCAGGACAGATTATGCTTAACAACAAAGTCATACAAGTAGACAATTTCAAATCTCTTTGCACAATGGTAACAAGAAAGTAAATCAGGCCATAGGTGTGTTGTCAGGAGTGTGGAAGTGTCACCGACTTAGTATCCATGCCAAGATTCATCTGTATATTTATGTATGGATTTGAAAGTTGGTACAGTAATGAAAGTGTGTGTGACTGATTTGTCAAACTTGAAGACAGAGTTCTAAGAAGAATTCTTGGAGTTGGACTTATAGGTTATGTATGTGTGCAACATATGAGAGAAATAACACAATTACTTTCGATTGAGGACATCATAAACAATACTAGATGGAAATGGATTAGACATGATGTGCAGGAAGATTGAAGAAAGAATCATCAAGTAAGTAGTTAAATGGAGGCCTAATGGAACTCAAATAAGATTGGTACTATGACAAGGGAAGCTGAAGATTGAATCCATGAAGGCCCTTTGTATCACTAAGCATGTAGAGCCTTAAGTAAAGTAAGTACAGTGACATTATCCATGTTTCCACATGAAGTCTATTTCCATTATGCACTCTTCTTTAGTGTCAGATACCTGCACATCATGTTGTAAATAGAAACTTCTCTAAATGAGGTTGACTTCCAACCTTTCTCAATACTCCAGTTCTTACTAACACATTAAAAATCTATAAACCTAGATTCAATAATCTAACTTTTGTTTTATACTGCTCAAACTGTTCTAAAACTTTGGGTAATATCTGAGATGTTAAGTCTAAATTAAAAACATAACTATCATAATTACTGTAAACTACTGGAAACCACTGCTAGATATCACCTTAAAAAGCATCTTGACACCTAGAATTTTATTAAAAATCCTCAGAATTGCTTTGGAAAGGAGTTTCCTTGTACTACCAATTTGTTGGAGCTTTTTGATGGGTCTTTTTCTTATTTGGAGTAGGTAGCTCTGTTGACATTGTGTATCTAGATATCAAGAAGACTTGTGATAGTTTCTCACAACATCTTTATCAGTAAGTTAGATTCTTAAAAAATGAGGAAAAATTTAAAAGGTGGTTTAAAAATACAAACACAAACGGTTGTTATAAATAGGTACGATGATTAAAAAATTATGGCTAGTGGGGGCCCTTAAGGATCTGTCTTACAATCTTTATTATATAATATCTATGTCATTGGTATGGACTACTGTTAAAGCATATGTTCCTAAAAGACAGGGGTCTCCAACATGACAATTTTGGCTATACATGAAACCATAAAATATTAAATTACTCAATCCATTAATATTATAGCACAAACTTCATTTCTTCATATAACTAAGTTTGATTTTCTAAAAGCACTGTCTTAAGGAAATGGCATTTTCCTACAGCTTATGCTCCTGAAAAATAGCTAAGCTTCCCATATTGAACATGTGGAAAATTTTCAGACCTTCATCATTCATTCTGACTAAGTAATATCATATAACAATATGGTATTAAGTATCCCAAGATTTGTAAAAAATAAAATAATTATTACATAGCACTCACTATTAATACCAAAAAAACACGTTTTAAAATAATAGATGGAAAGTTATATTTATTAATCCATGTTAAAATATAGAATTTTGTAGCCCAAAATTTGATTAGTTATGAAAATTTTGTTTGTTTGTAAATAAGCACAAAGCTACACAATGGGCTATCTGTACTCTGCCCACCACGGGTACTGAAACCCGGATTCTAGCGTTGTAAGTCCGCAGACACACCGCTGTGCCACTGAGAGGCAGTTATGAAATTCATTATTGTATTTTTGTTTGTTAAGCACAAAGTTACACAATAGGCTATCAGTGCTGTGCCCACCATGGGTATCATAACCTAGTTTCTATCATTATAAGCCTTCAGTCTTTAATTACTACCAATCACATGCACACATCTCTGTTTACTTAACAGTTCAGTTTCAACCAATGACAATTTTGTATTTCAGAAGGTTTCACATACAGTTAATGTTTCAGGCTGCGACTAAAAATGCTTGGTTGGTTTCTGACAATCACAGTCACCAAAAAGTGTTTCAAAGTACTTACCTGTTGCCATTTCATTTTAGCTTAAGATTCCTAAGAAGTATCATTGTTGTGTGTGCACACAAAAAAAAAATTCAAAAAAGATTGGGAACAGCCAGTATTTGCAAAATGCTGAGGTGAAAATTGTTTTAAAACTAAAACAGAAGTTACTTTATCAAAAATTTAGGTTATTTGTACTGTCATTAAAAATTTCATCACTATAACAAATATATAAGCAACAGATAATTATGATGATGACACATGACGTTAAACATTCCCAAGGACAGTCCAATGTCTAATCTAACATGACAAGCACTGTCTGAAACTGATCATTCACTACTACCAAATCTCATGCAAAATGCATTATAGATCCAAACCATCAGTATTTTGTTAACCCTAGATTAACCAATATGGTCCATATCCCATTGGCTTTTTAAACAACTTTTTCAAAACTATTTATGCTCTATATTGTTTGTGGGGCCAAGACTTTGGTTATAGGGTCCTTAAATCACATAATACATTTAAAATAAAAATGCTATCAACATTACACTTAATCTCACTAATACTGCTAAAGTCCCACATGTATTTCACATAAATAATGGGTGATTTCACCCAATACTTTGGTCAGTTTTTTTATGCTGATTGTTGTAACATGACTATTATAGGGAACAAATATATTGCAAGTGGAATCAATTTTGATTTGTGTCGTACAATAAAGGATGAGTATCATAATCTCACTGGACTTTAAAAAAAAAGTCAATGTGATGACTTACTTATAAGTGTGCTGCCTTTAAGTAACTCGTGAGTCAGATCCATGTATACACTTGTCTAAAGACCTTGCTCAAAAAGCTATGGACAGGGGTTGTCAAAAAGGATTCAGACCAATACTGTAGGTTTAAAGAATACCAGCAACATATATATACATGCACAAGATTAACAGGTTATGCTCATGTAAATGATTCTGTACCTCTGCATTTGCATTTAACATTACTTGATCACATAGAATCCCTGGTGAAAAAAATGGTTTGCTAATGAAGACAATGCAAGTATCCTAGTTATTGATGGAATCTTTATTTACATCCAGAAAAATTAAACTAAAACTTTCAAAAGAAGCAATAAGGCATGCATAAACAGTCTTCTAGTAAACCTATGATGAGCTTCACCATGGGTACATTGTTACAGTTGATGGTTCATATCTTGCTGATGGTACAAATAATGATTCTGCAATCACAATTTTTGGATGAACATTGAAGAGATTCAATATTGATTGCAACTTGGTGATGCCATGGTAGTAAACAGTTTTCAGAGATACCTAGGATCTACTACACAATTTTGGTTTCAAAATTCAAGTGCCTTTCTTTCTATAGAAAAGTAAAAAATAACATTCAAATGAAACCTCTCAATACTGGTGACAATAGTGAGATGGATGGTTGAGGCTGTTAATGGACAATTCAAACAATGGAAGCTTGTGGACATGCTTCGAAATTTACAACCAGCCAGAGCTCCAAACTGTTCACAGAAAAAAAATATTTACTGAAAATCTTGTCTGAAGAATAATTCTACTCTTTGATATTCAAGGTGTGTTATTTGAAACAATCTTAATCAGACTCTTGTGAATACTTGTCAGATGTTGGACAATATGAACTTATGGCAAGTACTGTTACTGAATGCCTTTTGAGAAACAAGTTGCAATCTTGTCACACCTATAGTAAGACATACAACCTGTGTTCTCTGATGTCAAGGATCTCACTGTTAGGTTTGTATAGGTGCCCACATTACCTATATGTTTTCTCGGTTTTCAATGCTACACGGACATGTTGAAGATCCCCAAGTACACTTCTTCATGACATCATGAATACCTCTGACCTACCTCAAAATAAATCTGAGAACAAAGAGTGACTAATTACTTTGGCTTACCATAATATGTTGCAATATCACAATGATGTATATCTCAAACATAAATACAATTTCAACGTACTTTTAGGTCACTTATCATGTAAAATTGGAAACAATAGAATCAGATCAAAAATGGTCTTTAAGGCCTCTCATCTTTTGCTAATGATACTAAACTGCTTGGTGAGGCTTAATCTTTTAAGACAGAAGGACTTGAATTGAGTGGACTAATCTATCAAAAATGAGTTTCAATATCAATAGTGATACATTCAGGGCATGGAATACATTTTTGGAGTGGTAGAAACACTGGTATTTTGAAAGTGATAAGGATTTGGACATGAAAATTTGGAGGTAGTGAAAAAACAAATAGGATTGAAGGTCAGTCAAAAGAAGTTCTGGAGTAAGGTGGTTATGATAACATTACAGCAAAACTTTGCTAAGGTTTCAACTGCGGTAATTTGTTCAGTTTTGGTCCCATTATTATAGAAAAGATAAAATAATCGAAGACAGGTTACCAAAATTATTCATGGTTTAAAACATTAAATTTATGAAGAGAAAATTTAAAGACTTTAACATACCTCCTCTGTATCATAAAAGAACTAAAGGTGAACTGATTCAGGTATTTAAAATAATTAAGGTTTAGATAAACTGCCCATGGAACATTTGTTGGAAATGAAATATTGAATATTAGAAGAAATATGCATAAGCTATAGAAGCTCAGGTCTATGTTGGGTATAAGGCAAAATCATTTACCTGTTCTTGTTTTTAATTTGTGGAATGGTTGGGTAGATGATGAGATGTGTGCTGGTAGACCGAATTCTTTTAAAATTTTTGTTGGATATGAAGTATTATAATTAGCTTGGTTTGGTTTCTTTGTTGGGAGATCTTGAGGAGCCAAATGGTTTTCTGTCACCTAATTTTTTTTTTTTATGTTTAATTTATATAATACTGTTAGTACTTAGGAGTCTAAGTCAAAATTCATTATTTTAGCTTTAATATTGTACAGATATTTTCATAATGATTATTTAGCAGACTAGTTATATAGCTGTTTGAAAAAAAAATGGGAGTAAAAATTGAAACATTTCCACACTGTATACCCACATGCTTCCACCAAATTACACAAACCAAGAAAGACACACCATATTACCATCCACTTTGCTTATAATTAAAGACTTGTGTATTAAAGAAATGAAAATTTGCATTATGGTGGTTGTGTCTAAAAGTCAATATTTTTCTAACTATTAACCTTTCACTGCCACTGGGACATATATTTGATAGTGGATGGGTTAAAGGCTTTTACAAGCAGTTATAGCACATACGATCATACCTTTAGAACAATCTTTGTTCTTTTCAATAGTTGCTAAATTTATAATAAAGGAAATCTAACAAAGTATATTTATTTATTTTTTATGTATATTTTGTGTATTTATTTTTAGTGTGATGTATACTTATGGCCTTACTGAATGTATTGTAATTGAAACTAAACATTATGGGTGTATGAGCAACTTAATTTAGTCTTCTTTTTATTTTAATTCATTCCATTAGACTAACTTGACATGTTTAATGGTAACTTAAGTAAGCTTATCATTAAAAACTACTTCAGTTTAAGCTAATCTTTCTAATAAGTTTGGCCTTAGACTGATATTGCTACATTTTTTACATACAAGGTTGTACTGACACTAATGTACAAGCAGTACAAATTACTCCCATTACAGTTTTGGGAAGTACACAATCACACTCACAGTATTCACACACACACAAAAAAAATCATACCTTTAAAACAATAAAAAGCATGAAATGGTAGCACTAAATACATGCCTCCAACAAAGTATACCCACTAAGTGATAACATCAACCCAATCAGTTGGAGCCATTATGTTAATTTGAAAGTGGACTTCATAAACTGCAAAATCATGCTTTTATGACAAGAAACCCAGAGAAAGATTAATAAATTTTCATTAAAAAAAAATCCAGTTATCTCAAACAAGGGAAACAAAGCTATTACTAATAGTATTAGTACATTACAATATAATGATCACAAATATTAACACTGGAAACTGAGACAAACTTTTTATTCACTTTCTTTTTACAAGTGGGTTGAAATTTTTTTCCTTAGGCTTAAGGCAACAAACTAGTTTGAAATTCAATTTCAGTTTATAAGAGTAGCAAACTGGCTGAGAACTAAATTAACAAAATGTGATGAAATAAGCTTAAGATATATATGAATTAAAATACAAAATTAGGTCAAAGCACAGAAGGAATTTTTTTTTTTAGTCTTAAGCTATATTCACTTTCAGTGAAGAATGAAGTCTGTACAAAAACCTCATGATGATCTCACACTTGCAAGTTCCAGCTTAAAATTCTTGACTTGCAACACCCTTCTTGGGCTTCCCACCAGTGGTAGTTTGACCAGTCTTCTTAGGAAGCAAAACTGATTGAATGTTGGGAAGAACTCCACCTTGAGCAATGGTCACACCAGAGAGTAACTTGTTCAATTCTTCATCGTTCCTAATCGCTAGCTGAAGATGGCGAGGAATAATTCTCGTCTTTTTGTTATCTCTAGCAGCGTTTCCAGCTAATTCCAACACTTCAGCGGCAAGATATTCTAAAACTGCTGCTAGATATACTGGTGCACCAGCACCAACACGTTCTGCATAATTCCCTTTTCTTAACAAACGATGAATTCTCCCCACTGGAAATTGCAGTCCAGCCCTATTAGATCGACTTTTGCTCTTGCCTTTAACTTTCCCTCCTTTACCACGACCAGACATATTGGACAATTAACTTATTAATGAAACTAACAATATATATTCTTACTTAAATCCAAATCTAACACCAAAATTCTATTTACCAACCTTCTACTTTTCGTCTTTCTCTACAAAAAGCATAAAAATTTGCAACAGCAGTGGTATTTATTGTCACTCTTGTCACGTGATAAGATTGAAAGAGCATCCAATAACATTGTGAAACATTTATACTATTTTAGCAAATCAGTTTTGAAGTTGCGATTTCCCGCGTAATTTTGGAATATGTCGCCATCTGGTGGAAATATTACAAACAAGCTAGATACGGAAATGAAAAATACGACCGTATAATTACATTTGCAAGTACTATAGTCTATAAGAATAGCTTGTACGTTATTGTGTAGAACTAGAACAGTCTTTTAACAATGTTAATAGGTGTAACGTTGCTTTCCAATCTTGCAATGTCAGCAGCTGGGTTTGTAGTTGTTCTGAGAATAATACCAAAATTCAAAGACATGTTCATTAAAGCTGGTTTGAAAGGAGTAGATATGAGTAAACCAGTGAATAAAGAAATGTGAGTTTGGCACGTTGGAATTTAGATCGAGTCTAACTCCTAAGTTAACTTTCTTAAATAAGCCTAATCTAATTCTAATAGTAGCATACTTTGGAAAGTTTAAATTGAAGTTACAAAATTATTAAATTAGGTGATACGATCCATTTTAGTCCTAAAGAATAAAATAATTTAGATTAAAACATTGTTATTTAACAGTCAATAACAGTGTTCAATTGCCACAGTCAAGATATACATTATATATTCAAGCCGTCTCCAACCATTATTATACATTATATGTGTATTACTGTTAGTAACACTGTTACTAGTACTATGAGCTTAATGCAATAGTTATGCCATTGGTAATTAATAATGATATATGAAAATCGAAAGTGAAATGTCATAGAAAAGTAAAGAGTAACTAAGTTTTATAAATCTGATTTAAATAAGTTGGAACAGTTGAAAGAAAGCGTGAACAGCATGTTTCTTATGCTATGGAGAAAGTTAAGTTATTAGTGAATTTACTATGTAGAAACATTCGTAATTACTCATGAACTTCAAAGAAATGTTTTAATCTTAAGTAAGGATAAGATAATATAAATGAAAATTTCAAAGCTAGATTGAAAATTGACATGTTATAACTTAAGTAGCAATTAGTGTTAAAGGCTTAGTTTTTATATTTATTGTGTTGAGTCCACAGTATTACTAATGTCAATGAGTTTGGTAATACTGCTTATAAACAACAGTAACTCTGACATTAATTGTCTTTAACTCAGGAAGGTTTAGACTGATTGAAGGGTCACAAACTTGGCAAATACTAATATTCAGAACTTTTAAGAATGATAAGTACTTCGAAGAAACTCCTTTTTTGTTATTATTGTTTGTTGATGGAGTTCATGAAAATTATGAAGTGTTTATATATATGATTTTAAAAACTGCTGAGTGTTTAAGTACAGTGAACATTTCAAATTATTATTTATCTGTTTACAGAAAGTTTTATTGTAAAGAGTACTAAATTTGTTATTTTGTCTTATTTGGCATAACTTTTGTAAAAAGACATTTAATTTTTCTTATAATGTTAGTATAGACTGTGAAAGTTTCAGTGTAAGGAACTTTTCATGTGTTTCACAGAGTAATGATTAGAATATATATAAGTGTAAAAGCATGGAAACCATGATCATATAATATTGTAAGTTTTTTGATTAATGAATAAAAAATTCAAAAGGAAATGATTTTGGGGCTTTCTGATTAATAGAAGAATTGTCATAATATAAACCAGTATTTTCCAAAATGTGGGCTGTGTCCCCCCAAGTGGGCACAGATGATCTCATGGGGGAGATGAGCAATTAGGAGAATCAATAGTGCAGTGATGTAAAATTAAGCATTTTAATAAATTTTATTATTACAGAAAGTGATAAGTAATTAATGTAACACATATAGCATTTGAATGCATATCCGTGTATTATGTCTTATCATTTAACTCGCATTCAATCAAAAGAAGGGAATGCAAGGAAGCATATTTATTAAATGGGAACATGTATAACAAAAGCTTGGGAAATGCTGATATAAACAAATGTCTGCTATATCAAGAAAAAGATGGTTATTGGTTGTTTTATTGTAAAACAAAATGGAAGCCCATTTGAACAAGGAAATGTTGATGCATTTTTTTTCTAACATCAAATTGAACTCAAGTTCATTGATTTGAAGTATTCAAGTTGTCTATTGAGCATGTTTGCTATAACCAGTAATGTAACTAAGGAGGGCTGAGCAAGGCAGCTGTTCCAGGAAAGACTTGGAAGAGAATGCAGAGCTCTAGCTATTTTAACAGATATTTGAGAATTAAATCTGATATGATTCAGGAAATATTTCCCACATATTTTTTATTATTATTATTTACTTATATTACAATTTCTTCAGCAAATACAATTAAAAAAACTGGATTGTTTTTGCTTTATGATTATACAAAGTGTTTATATGTATGTATATATGTGTGTGTGTGGGGTGGGTAGTTCATCAAACTTGCCCTGGGTGCAACAACATCTAGTTACGTGCGACTGGCTATAACATGCATAAACATATTTTATAGAAATATTGAAATATACACCTTAATGGTTACAAGCAGTAAATGCCTTTTAAATGAAACATTTCTGGTTTAATCTTAGGAATTGGCATATGTGTATGTTTAAAACAAAATTATTTTAAAAGTTTTTAACTAATAAAAAGGAATGTAATTTGTGCAAAAACACAAGTTTTCTTTCTACCAAATGTGTTAGTGTTATAAAACTAATAATGACATGTTTATTCCCAGTTAATAGAAAAGACGAAAGTAATAAGTCAGTTTGCCCTATCAAGCTCATCCTTCTAACTGCCAAAGCATTAAAAACTTAAGTGTAATTATTAATATTCATATTTGAAAGAATTATAGACAAATAGTAAACACCACATCACAGGGAAATTATTCCATAAATTTATAGCTCAAGTCATAAAATAATTTTATTGAAGAATGAATCTGCATGTTGGTTTCCAATGCCTAAACCCATTACCAGTAATACTAATATTCAAGTTTGTGTTTTCAACTTTTGTATTCAACCATTCAAATAGATCACTCATTGAAAAACCTCTCGAAATCCTAACAGTTGTGAGCACCTAAATGAAGTCATCTGTGACTATTTTACTGTTGATGGGCAATTAGTATTATAGTAAATGTTAATTTAAGTTAGTGACATTATAGATTTAACAGAACAGACAGGAAAAGCCCGAATAAGAAAAACATTTAGAGGTCTGAATAACATTATTGAATAAAAATTACAAAAAATTCTGTTTGCATGTATCATAAAAGTGTACAGATAATATGTTGATTACAGAAAAGTTACTTAAATTTGTTGTTTTGAAATAACACTTGTGTATCTTAGACAGTTTATTTTTGAAGTATATTACATTAAGTTTATGTTAACATAATTACAAACTGATAGTATAATTTCCATCATTGTTTTCTGTATTATGTTTATGTTGCAGCCCTGAATCTGCTGGGGTAATTTCAGGATCAGTTTTCCTGATAATTATGTTTCTCTTCATACCAGTGCCATTTATTCAGTATTGGACAACAAACACATCTGAAGCTTTTCCCCACCATGAGGTGTGTCAGGTGTAATATTAAAACATTTCTAACTTTTTTCTTTTTTTGTGTGTGTGTGTGTGTGTGTCTACATATAAACACACACACATATAAATGAAAAAGAAGTAATAAATGCTGTAAAGAAAAACTGAAATCCACTGCCTGTTGAATATCATGATTTCAATTTACATTTTTATATTAAAAGTTTTGTTATGGTTTACTATTATTTTTCAGAAATAAGAAGTAAAATAGTGTAAGGACTTAATAGTCTAGAATAATAATAATAATAAAAGTTTACTATAGAAAACTCATATTCTATCAATTTAAGTAAAAATGAAAGCATAATAGACAGGCCTAAAAATCTCTGATAGAAATCATCTTTGATTGCAAATTTTTAACATTCTGTAATGGAAAATTTAAGAGTAATGTGAAGACAAGTAATTTGTAGTTTAGCTTGTATTTTTTTTTCAGAGATTTGAGGCCTGTTACCTTTGTTATTGTTTTGAATTGAAACTGTTACTTAAAAAATAATTTCATTTATAAAAGGGATTTTTATTCAAATTGTAATTGCCTTTTTGGCAGTACACCAAATTTCATTGTAGTTCATTGCACATTGTAGTCTTGAAATCCAAGTTTTAATATAAATTTCATGTACTGTAGATAAAATTTTATGAAGTTCAGTAACTTCTTTTCAAGAATTAATTATAACTCAGTGATGTTGTGACAAAAGTACTGCAGAGGTTTAATGAATTTTGTTAGACTTTTATAATCTTGTTCAAAGGAGATTTATTTCAAAATATTATGTAGTGCTTAATTTTAGACATTGTGACAGACTTGTACTTGGGGTAAGTTGATGACAAGATTTTGAAATGTTACTGCATTAGCAGAATGGAATATTGTTTCCAAAATACTGTAGCAGTTTACAAATTGAGATAAAACCTACATTGTAAATTTTTTAAAATTTTATAAGTAGTTAACATTGTAGGTTAACAACAATATAAACTAACTAGTTAATAAATTAAGTAACTTGGTGTTTTTAATTTTTATTTCACATGTACTGGAGTATTCAATGGGTATGTTGTTTATAGCATATAAATCATTTTACTAGTGCAACATTCCAAAGCATAGGTTGCTAAGCAACAGTATTACTACTGAAACATCCTTTAGTGTGCAACAATTATACAAAGTTTTTTGGATAAATACTAGAGATTAGATTGATTAGTATAAACTATTATTATTATGTAATTATTACCAGAGTTTTAATAATTTTAAGTTATTTATTTTTTATTGTGTATATGTAATTGAAATGTTTGTCTTCTCAAGAAAGAAATGAATTTATAGTGTGTCATATGAGTATAAAATTTGTTTATAAGATGTATCCAATGTCCTGTCAATATTAATCTGAAAGAATGTCAGAGACATCACACATTGTGTTGTAGAAACTTTGGCAGTGATATTAAATCCTTCAGAGAACAACTATAAACCATAGTTGGTGAGTCAGTCAATTGACTGGACAAATAATTTGAAGTGACTGGTCAGTTGACCACTTATGTTTTGACTGGTGAAAAACATGGTCATATATTGTTAAGTAATTAAAAACCTGTACTAAATAATGTTAATACCTGCACATTAGCCAAGGTTTTTTATTAATTTGTAGGCCTCCAAGCCTCTGCTTATAGGTGAGCTTTTGGAATTACATCCGTACAAACAGATTTTAAAATGGTTGAATGTTCAGTTCAAACAATAAAACTCTGTATTTGTTGTATCATAGTGTATTATTTCATACTTTTCATTTGTTAATATAGTATAATGCATAAGTGTAATGGGTCCCTGCTCTTTACCTGCTGAAACCTATCGCAAGTAGCCCATCCTGTTTTGGTGGAGCTGATGACAAGATAAACTTTGTAAAGACCTAAAATACTTTGAATAATTCTAATTAACATTAAATAGGTTTTGACATTGACAATACAATTACAATTATTGAAAAAATATAGTGAAATAAAATTAATTAACTACTAACAAAATACATTAAGAAATAAAAGTCTTAAAATCCGCTTTTACATTGAAAGATGCTTCATAAAACAGGAGATAATTTAAAAACTCATTATTGAAAAATTATAATTACATAAAATAAAGAACCAGTTTATGGTTTGTCTTCCAATAAGAACGAAAGCCACTACTACATACAACTCCACCATTTTGATGTAGTAGATCATAAATAAATATCATTGGTCATTATACCAAATAAGTACCTGTTTTGTTTTAAAGCTTCACTATTTATTGATGTATTCTGATACAAAACCTGAGTTGGTATATCAGTGAAGTTATGACAAACCATATATATATATATATATACAAATAGATAATTTAAGTAAAATTCAACATAAAAAACAATTAATATATGACAATATTTGACCAGCCAGTATGCCCAACTCTGCTATATACATTAATAAGATAAAAATTACTGAAAAGTATTGCAACGTTAGAAAGGAGGAAAGTAAAAAAATCAGTTGTTAAAGTGGCATGTGGATGTGATTCCTTATAGGCATTAATCAGAACCATGTAGCTACCTTTCATATTGTTACTAATTATTGTTTGTTGAGGAAATCAAGCAGTTTATTTTATGTGTGATTGACCTAAACATAAACACATACTTTTTTCTAAAGTTTTCATAATTTTTATTGACCTGGTTTTCTGACTTTTTTTTTCTTAAGTCCCATAAATAAATAAACACCAAAAAGTAACTGAAATGTGGTTTTTAGTTATTTAAATTATTGATTTGATCTGATTTTTTAAAACTAAAATTTTAATTTGCAGCAATTATCCAATAATTTTCAAGTCACTGTTTTTACATTTGAGGAGTATTAATCATAATATTTTTGCTTAGCACCATTTGCTTTGGAAAGCTTTATTAATAAAATAATTTGGAGTTATACATAGAAATATATCCTTAAAGGCTACAGTACTGGAGCCACAAGCTTGTGGAAAAAATAAATAAAAACAACATGGACAAAGCTTACTTAGTCATTTATTTAATGATTGTATTCTACATTATGGAACTGAAAGATTAAAACTAATCTTATTTTTTACAAGATTTATTGGTATAAAATATTTGAAAATAAGGTCATTATTTTCCTATAGTTTGTAGAACTTGTTGCTGCTCTTCTGTCGATTTGCTGCATGCTGTTTCTGGGATTTGCTGATGATGTTCTTGATTTGAGGTGGCGACATAAATTGCTACTTCCAACAATGGCATCTCTTCCTCTTCTTATGGTTTACTATGTAACTTTCAACACAACTACCATTATTGTTCCAAAACCGTTTCGATTATTCCTTGGTCATGACCTATGGTTAGGTATGAATTTATGTGGTAATTTATGTTTTAATAACACAACATGATTTAAGCTAGCATTCTTAAAGCTTTAAAAAAATATATGTCATTACATTTTACTACAAATTTTGTGTTATAATGTGTTAAAACACTTTTTCTAAATTTGTGTTCAACAAGTACATTTGTGTATAACTAATATGCTCTGTACAAAGGTCCAGAAAAAAAGCATGAGAAATTCCAGCCTAATTAGGGTTGTAAGACTACAAATCATTATAGTTATAAAGTAGCTCTCTTTTGTACACTTTCCAACAGATTTGTATTTTTTCATAGTACTAGTATTAAAATAAAAAATTTTAAAAGAAACCTAACAAGTTTTAAGCAAACAATTAAAAAAATAATAACTGATTCTTGAATGCTGTGTAGATAGTTTTATTTTTACAAAATACTTTGTAGAAGGTGTTAAAAGTCTCACAAATAATGTTTCTTTCTCAGTACATACATTGTCTGAATTATAACCTCCTTCTAAGATTTTTTTTACCTGTGTATGTGTGATTTAGCACTTCCCACTGTTAAAACTGATTTTTAGAATATGCTGAGCTTATTTTAATAGGTGTTCTGAGATTTGGGAAAGAATATAATTTAATATCCCATAGTATATGGTTGTTTTATTATATAAATATATATATTTTTTTTACTTGCATTGTAATGAGAAGGAAATTTACTGTAAGCCAAAAATACTGCTGACAACTGATCAAACAATGTATTCTTAACATTATTAGAAAGAATGTAATAATATTGTATATTTAATTAACCATTAATTGTTATCTATGTAGGTGGCTTGCTTTGATGAGAAGTTAATAATAAAGCATTTTTAGATATGCATGTACTTAATATAAATTTTCTGCATGTTGCTAAATGTTTATTGTTGTTCATTTGTAAATGATTTGGTTTTATATGTGTTTTTTTATAATCCAATTACTTGTTGTTAATGCCATTGTAGGTCCCCTGTACTATGTTTACATGGGAATGTTAGCTGTGTTCTGCACCAATGCTATCAATATCCTAGCTGGGATCAATGGACTAGAAGTTGGTCAATCAGTAATCATTGCTGCCTCTATTATATTATTCAATTTTATTGAGTTGTTTGGTAAGTTATATGTTATTTTGTGCACACAGGCACATGTAATTGTAGAGTAAATATTTATATAACAGCTTGGTTAGATACTAGATAGAAAACACATTTTATTAAGGAAAAAAGATCATAAATTTGTTTCCAAGTCTTTTCTGGTGTAATGGTGATTTAGAAATTTTTTTATCAATCATACATTTTCTCAAATATGCTCCTTATTCATTAATGTAGAGTTTATATACTGGTATTTCTCAAGAAAATATCAAAGTGTTTTGTAAAGTGCTGTATTTTTGGTACTTTATTGTGTTTAATACAGATTTTATGTACTTGAAGGCTCCTTACATTAATGAATTAAAAATTATACAGTTTCAAAGATGTAACCACCAATTCAATTTATGTTTCTTTCCTCATATGCATGGATTTTGTAGTTAGTTTCTTCATTTAGTAGAAGCCATCACTTTTCCCTCACAATAACTGTTTCATACAATGAAGTTTATGTTGTCTAGTCTATCAGATGAAGAAAGAGTTGACTATGCTGCCTTATAGAAGAATTAGTTGGACAGGTGTCTGACTTGAAGTGCATAGACAAAATAGTTACACATGTAGTTATGATTAAACCAATGATGAGTTTGGAAGAAGGAGATTCAGGGCACAACAAGTTAAATAATAGTTTTAAAGATAAGTATCAAATTTAAAGATAAACACTGTAGGATCAAGAATACACTTAAATGTTTTTATTCTAATTTTAGGAATATTAGAAACAAATGGATGAGTTCAGTGTTCTGTTTGAAATTCTCCAATATTATGATATAAAGGGAATTACGGAAACTTGTTTAGATTTGGAGAATATTCATAACAGGAATTATTTTGAAATTCCAGGTTATAATTTATTCTATAGTGATAGACTTTTTAAAAGAGGGGTGTGATGGTTCTTCATATAAAGGTTGAACTGCAGCCTGTTAGGATTGAAGAAATAAAAAAAGGTAGTCGAGTTGAATTTGTATGGGTTACAATCAGGTGTTTCCAGAGTAGAAAGTTTTCATTTTGCAAATTTTATAGACAACCTGATCACATACAAGGTGTCAATGAAAAATTGTATGATGAGATCAAAGTTGTCTAAAAAGAATATTGAAGCAATAATTATGGGAGACTTTAATGTTACACTTTAATTGGATTGCATGGAGTCAAATAGTGAGGAGGAGAGATTTCTCAAAGTGATTGATGGTAGTTTTCTATATCAAATTGTCAGAGAGCCAACTAGGGTGACATCAATTTATATATGTTGTTAACCATAAATGAGGATATGTCTGCAAGAGTTGAAATAGGTAAATAGTTTGGGAATAGTGATTATTGCATAATTAGATTTGATTATTTGCTACATATGGAGATAATAAGAAAAAAAAATTAAATTCCTAATTTTCAGAAAACCAATTAAGATGCCATGAGACTAGATATATCATTAGTGAACCAGGAGTTAAAAGGTGATGTGGAACAGAGTTAGAAAACCTTTAACAATAAATAGATGTTAATTCAAGATAGATGTGATCCTAAAAAGAAGAAAAGGATAGCAGGGAATATCAAATTAACATAATTGGAGTACACAGATTCAAAATCAGTACTAAACAAAACATTGTTTTTCTTGCACTGTTGTCATGTGGAAAAAAACCAAGAATAATGTCGATTTCAAATATATGTAGAATAATTTTAAAGTGCTGTACTACACATAATTAGTTTTTGACCAATCATTTGTGAACATTTTTATTTGTTTCATTTTGTTGTGGTATAATGTTTTGTTAGTTTGAAAACCAAAAGCCTTTTTTATGCCAAATTCTTTGTGTTGAACTTAGTATGCTTTTTCAGTAAAGTTAAAATTAAACCAGTTAAATCTTTCTCTTTTCTTCATAGGAGAGTGTTGGAAGGCTCATATTTTCTCTTTGTACTTCATGCCACCTTTTCTTGGCACCTCATTAGGACTTTTGTATTATAACTGGTAAATATGTGATGTTTTGTAGACTTTCTGTTCCATTATACTTTATTATACTTAATACTTTGTATTTATACTATGTTTCTATAATGTAGTGTAATATGTTACCACTTTCTGAATGGATTTAAGATGTGAAAAATATGTAATTTTTTGTTATAATTAGTAATAAGAAATCCTTAGCAATTATGTTTATTGATTTTGGTACATCATAAACTTGCTTAACTACATGTAAACTAATTAACTATTATGATTATACACTGTACAGTACATATTTTTCTAGCAATATTAGAAGACATTATGCATTCTTGAATACATATTATGGTTGGATATCTTTTGTGACACTTTTAAAGTTTAGGCAATAGATATCGTTTTGGAAAAATTAATAGTTTGAATTTTTGTAGTTTTTAGTATTACTTTGAAAAAGGATCTTTGATGCATTATAGTTTAATGACAGTGAAATCCCACTATTATATTAAAGCAGCCTAACAGCTAGAGGTGGGTGCTGTTTGATTAGCTGCCTTCCCTCTAGTCTGTCTGTTCAAAATTAGGGATGGCTAATGCAGGTAACAATTATGTAGCTGTACATAAATATTCAAAGCAAACTTTTTGGGAGGATATATATTTTATTTACATTTTTCTAGTTATATTGAATCAACACACACACATATATGGTTCTCCTTCAATTTATGATTATAATATTCTGAACAGTTTGAAATACTTTGTTATAACTACTGTTACTAGAAAGCTGATAGCTCTAATGATTTGGTATTTGAAAACAACAAGATTAGTTGTCAATGATAAATTCATTAACATCATATAAGTGGTTTTCTGTTTATGTAAGCCTAACCCTGAGAGTATCAGCCTAAAAATGTGTGTGGTGTATGAGTTTTCAACAATTATGTATCCTGGACTTATTCAGCTTAAATTATATGTAAACTTTTGTAAACATTGTATCTTAACAATGTAATCTTTGACATACAGTTATATTGGTTAGTTTTAACAAAACTGGAATGTAAAATTGAAAGTAATAAATATTGTGAAAAAAAAAATACTTTGATAACCAGCTTGAAAACTTGTTGGGAAGAGAATTTTGTTTTGTAATAAATTTCTAGTAAATGTGTAATTCCAAAACATACTTACCTCTTCTCACACTTGCAGCTGTTGCTCGACTGCCAGTTTCTTCCATTGCTCCTTTAAGCACTGTTCTGATTTTTTCTCGCTAGCTCCAGTCTTTTATACCTCACTTAATTGCCCTTGGCGATATTTGTCTCGTGACACTCTCCACCTACATCAATGTGCCCTCTATCCTGGTACCGTATATAAGCACCTCATTCAGATAATGTTATAACTTTTTCTTGACAATACATCACTGACGAGTTTCCAAGTACTACGATCAACCGGAAATACTTTGAATGTTCTCTGTATTACCTAGTTGATTTTTGCTAAAAAAAATTCTGATTGGCAAGTGGATTTACAGTATGTATTCCATGGATTATTATTAGGTCTCTCCATTCCCAACTCTGATATCTAGTTTTGCACAACAATTGGGGGGGGGGGGTCACTCTCGGTTGAGACTGTCAGTGATTTTATTCATAGTAAAATGGAGACATATATTCAGTTTGGGGATATTATTCTGGGAGGCTCTGAGGCTACAATGGAGGGCAAATCTTGAGATTCTGGAGAGAATTTAAATTTGCTTCTTCCTGCACCTTATTTTAGTTTGTTGGCTTTTCAGTTCTCCTGTGGGACAGTGGTGAGTTTACGAACTTGCAATGCCAGAATCTAGGGCTCAGTTCCCTACAGTGGATAAGAGATAGCCCAACATTGCTTTGCTCTAACAAAACACACTTACCTGATCAAATGTTGTTCCAATCAACAGTAATCAACACAATCTTTAAATGACATATAAAAACAAAAAGGAGGCCACTTTGGGATAAGCTGCCTTTGATTTGTTTTTTTTTGTTGGTTCATAGAGAGTGTGATATTTTGGGTCTTTCCCCAGTTGCTTTTGGGCGTGTGCCTTACTTGATGGTTGAAAGGTCTGGGAGTGAATTTTTAGTTTTCTCTCCATCCACAGACATTGTGGTTCATGCTGGGAGGCTTACTTCTCAGTTACATAAAGGGACAGTCCTGTCTTATCCAAAATGGTTGTCGGAACTTAGTGATTTAGCCTACTACTGCCAGGTAGAAGCATTTTCTGACTCTCAAATAATGCATCTGCTCATCGAATTTTGGAGTTCTTAGGCAGAGTTTGTATCTAACGTGAATATATCAATGTCCCCTGATAGAACAGGGTAAGTCTTTGGACTTGCAACTCTAAAATTCAACATTTTGTTTTCCTTTCACTTCACTTTGTTGGAAGACTCCCGGGATCACCAGCTTCATTGATGACGAGCTGGAAGCATTGTTAGCATGCACATTGACTCAGTTGTTGGCTTCTACATTCATCCCTGTTGTCGTTAGCATCTTGAATTTCATTGGCTCCTACAGGTGGCCACAGTTCCACCCCTATTCATGGTTCCTGACCCCTGACATCAGCCCTTTGGTACATGGTACCCAGAATAGATTCTGTCTGTATCCAAGGTTTCCGCTGTTTGGTCGGATCGCTCCCAGTGGTGTTGATGATTATTGTATGCTTTCAGGGTCTTTTGGGGCTTAGCTCCAAGAATTTCTGGACATATGGTAACCTTAAAGAATCCAGGAGCACTACAGTTCCTTGAATCAGGACTAGACATTCAGTTCACATCTTCACAACTGTTATCCACCCAACCTGTAGGGTTTCCATCTCCTGCAGATACTTGGGATTGGGTACTTAGTTCTAGGGCTATCAGAGTTTGGTTTGTCTAGGGGTAGTGAAAGAGTCATGCTAGTTTTTCCAAAGTTTTATTCCTGTCGGTTGTTGGGCCTAAGAAGACAGGAGATTGGTGTCCAGTCATTGATCTTTCTCATCTATATCAATGCCTAGATTCTCTAAGGTTCATAAGTTACTCATTCCTCAATCTAAGTTGACATTTTTTACTGGGATTGTGGATGTCTAAGTACGTTGTAGTCGACTCCTATCTACACACTGCCACAGTGGTCGCATCTTACCACTATTGGTGTTTTTTGTGCACTAAGGTCAGGTACTGCAGATCCAGGTTTTTACCTTTGGACTTGCATCTACTACAAGTGGGTCCTGCCATATTGTACAAGTTTTTTTTCTTCTCACCTCCATTCCATCACAGTGTGCACACACCATCTCTTCAGTTGGCAGGCTTCATTCTCAGGGCTGAGACATTTATTCTTTCTCCAATTCAATATGTTATCAGTCTGGGTATTTTTATTTTTCCCCTCATTTCTCAGTTGAGCTCAGTCAACTCCCATCCAACTCCATGCTATGGAACAGGAAGCCTGACTCATACTCACCTCTCCTTCTCCCACTGTACAGATGGTTCTTTCTCTTCTGGGAATGTGGGCATCACTCGCATCCCTCGTGCCTTTGGGACGAGAACACAAGAGAACCTTTTAATGGTCTTTATGTGACCAAGGGATCATAAACATCAATTCACTGGATTCCCCAGTCCCTTAGTTGGGATCATTCTTCTATTTCAAGGGCTTGTTAAATAAGGACACTACTAAGATTTGGGTTCCTCTACCACCACCTCATCCAAGAATGCCTTGCTTCTTGCATGGGGTGCATATACCAACAGTCAGGAATTCCAGGGTTTACACACAGACAACGAGACTTCCATACACAATATTTTAGTTCTTCTTGCTCTTCAAAAGACAATGCCTCATGGTCTGGGCTTATTAAGGGGATAATCGTCAGGCTTCACTCTGACAATTCTGTGGTGGTGTCTGGTGTTTCTCATCGAGGAGGCACTTGATCCAGGGTTGCTTTTTTTTAAATTTTGAACCTCTTCTCAAGACCACTCCTTTCATATCACCCTACTAGCTTATCATGTTCCACAGGTGATGCCTGTGGTAGCAGATCAGTTGTCTCAACCTAAATAGATTCTCCCAACAAAATAGATGCTGCATTGCAAGTTTCTGTTGGATTGACTCTCATTTGTGGGTTGGCCTCTCATTGGAACACCCAAATATTGGCAATTTGTTCTCCAGTACCTCACTTTCAGGCTTTGGCAATGGATGCATTCTGTCAGAACAGGATGGGATTACAACTCTAGGCCTTCCTTCCAATTCATACCCAGGGTAAAAATCTATGTTTTGTTCCAACCCATTGTTGAATGCCTGTTGATAGCACCAGATTGGCAGTTACACCTTGGTTTCTGCTTTTGCAGTACATTCCAAGTTTCCACGTCTTCTTAGGCCATTCTGTGGAAGCAGCCATGATTTGACATAGTACATCCAGCTATCCAGAAGCCCAAGCTTCAGGCATAGAGTTTATGCAGTTTTTCACACAGCATTGGGATTTAATTTCTAATATTGCCATGTATCTGTCTCAGTCTTTACTTAGTTCCGCAATGAACATTTATCAATGGAAATGATACGGATATCGACAATAGTGTATTGAGAGGAGGTTGAACCCATTTCGATCAGAAATGTTTTTTTTACTTGTCTTTTTGGTAAGGGTTTTTTCATCTTCCACAATCGCCCTGTATAAGTCAGCCTTATCAACTACCGCTCAACAATCTTTGGATTCCTCAAGTAGCTTTGGGTCCTTGGTCTCAAATGACCATTCCAATTACCTAACTGGTATATTAAGGTTACATTACCTGCCATTTCTCAACACCTGTTTGTGACATGATCCTCATATGCCATATATCACCTTTACCTGAAGGTTTATTTTTAGTTGCTGCTGGCCTACTACGTCGCTGGTCGGAGTGGTTTGCACTGTTTGTCCACAGACCACTTTCTCATTCTCTCTTTGTCATCAGGCCAGTTCTTCTTACCCAAGACACCGTCAGACAGAGAAGGGGGGATAAATCCTTTTCACTGATTCATCTGATCATTATTTTTCATTTCTATGTCCAATCAGATTTAGATTTTTGTCATGTTCAGTATGGGTCTTGAAGGTTTTGTTGCCTGCACTAATTCCTTTAGAGATGCTAGACAACTACTTTTTATTCTGGACTCTCTTTGAAAGTGAGGAATCTTCTTTTGTTCACATATAATCAGATTTGTCACATTGCTTTGTCCTTAGCAGTCCAGTTGAATTGCCTGCTGGAGGACATTGTGCGGACTGGCATGTGGACCTCTCCCAGTACTTTTATTTGCATGATCTGGCAGTATCTTCATCTGAGGGTTTTTGCCTACTTCTTGTAGCTAGATTCTACAGAGGGGTGAGTATTTTCTTTGCTACATTTCAGGGTCATGTTTCTTGTTTTCACAGGATCCCATTCTGTGGCGAGCGTTGCCCAGACAGGTGTGCTTTTATCAAACCAATTCCACACCAGCAACCACTAATTCAATATACTTTATACAGGTTGCAACAGGCTCTGTAGAAATGAGATGTTCCATAAGACCACCTAAAGGTTGACTGGGTGGTATTATTGTACTATGCTGAACTGCAACTCATGGACTATCATGAGTAAAGCATAAGGGGATCCTGTCAATCATTTTATTAATAAATCTGGGTTGGTTTGCATTTAAAAATTTAGGGAACTTTGTTCACTTATTGCATTGTTTCCAGAGCACTGATCCTCCCCAGATTCTACTAGTGGAGCTAGGGAGTACCACACCCAGTTTCTAGTTGCTGGGGTGGTGGACAGTGGCTTTTTCTCCAGAATGTAAGAGTGATTTCAGCTACTCTTGGAGAGTGGTTCCATCCTAGGTCCTTGGTTGAGCACAGTTGGTTCCACATCCTCCCCATAATTCTGGGGGCAAGTGGAATTTACCTTGCCCAATGGTTGGGGAGTGAGGATGAGTGTTCATAATTCCAGACTGGATGAGTTCTGTTTCCTCAGGTTGAGTAAGGCATACATGATCCTGTCATTCTGAGCCTGGTTTGTTACCTTTTGGACTTCTTCAGGTTGAGGATAAGGTTCATTCACTTCAGTGTTGCTTACCTTCTCTTCGTGATTCTGATGGCTCAGAATGCATCACTCTATAGCTACAGGTTGGGATCTGCTCATAAGTATGTACATAGATTGCAGTCCAATTGCCCTAGCCACCTACATGGGATATAGGGACCATGGCCCTATAATTCCAACCCTGAGTAGTGGAACCTCAGCTATCTGGTTGGGGCCTGGCCAATAGTGATGACACATCATGTAAAATTCCACCCACAATACATAATTATGTTCTGAGTGAAGAACATTCCTGTTCTGGATGTAGTGTGGTTCCCCCACTAGGGTGCCAATCTTCTATTGACACACCCAATCTCTATGCAGATGCTTTCTGCATGGATAATGTCCTCACTGGCCCCTCCACTGTATTACTGTGGGATTCTAGCTGTAAGTGTGAGAGGAGGTAAGTATGTTTTGGAAGTTAACATTTTCTTAAATCAAAAATGTATATCCAATAATATTTACCTCCGTTCACACTCTCCTGCCCTTCCTCACCACTAAGAGCCAGTGTCAGAGACTGGGATTCAGTCAATCTTGAAAAAGTGATAACTTTAACTAAATGAGATGCTTATGTACAGTACCAGGATCGAGGGTGCATTGACATAGGTGGGAGAGTGTCACGAGACAAATATTGCCAAGGGCAATTAAGTGGGGTATAAAAGACTGGAGCAAGCAAGAAAAATCAGACCAATGCTTAGATGGGCAAAGGTAGAAACCCTGGCAGTCGAGTAATAGCTGTAAGTGTGAGAGTAGGTAAGTATTATTGGAAGTACATTTTTGATTTAAGAAAATGTTAACTTCTGAGCATACAGGTACATGTAGACATTCTACTACAAATGATAAATGTTTGTATAGCAGTTTGATTAGTTCATTAACTGTACTAGGCAGAAAGCACAAATTATATGCTTTAAAAAAATTTAAGTTTACTTATAAGACTATATTGGAATGATAATGTGCTCTTAAAAAAGACTGTTGTTTAATAGAATGTTGTTATGTAATAAAAAGTTTGTTAGATCTGAATTTCTACTTTACAACTACTTAGTGTTTATGCATGCAATGAATTTTAAAAAATGTAAAAAATGCAAATTTATGGCAATAAAAGTATTATTTATCAGTTAAGTATTGAAATCTTTTTACTTAGATCTTGATATTTCACCACCATATCATTTATATTTTTTAGGTACCCATCTCATGTATTTGTCGGGGACACTTTTTGTTACTTTGCTGGAATGACATTTGCTGTTGTTGGAATTCTTGGTCACTTCAGTAAAACAATGCTGCTGTTCTTTATACCTCAGATATCTAACTTCATCTTCTCTGTCCCGCAGCTTTTTCATTTAGTACCTTGTCCCCGTCATAGATTACCTAAGTAAGTCTTATTGAAAGTTTGGTTATTTAGAGAAAGATTTTAAAGTTTTTATCTTAGATATTTGGCTTTGTAATTTCTATATGAAAAGATAGAACAGATATTCTTCTTTTTTCTTTGTTTTCCTTGAATTATTAAAAACTGTGGTCATAAATTTTATCAGTGTTATTTACATCTCAGTGCAGCATAACAAACTTTTCCAAGACTAGTTTCACGTAAGAATGCTTGTTTAAAAGGGTCAAATCTACATTATTTCCTGTAATTACACTAATGGATCATTGAAACTATATATCACAGGAAATATTTCATAAGTAATAAATGAGGAACAGTAAATGTTTCTACTCAAAATATAAGTCCTTATAAAATCAGATTAAGTCTTGTATATAGCTTTTTATATTCCTGTAGTATTCTCTTTAAACAAGGCTATACACTTTCATTCTTATTTTCAGTATTGTTAATTTTTTATGAAATGTTTAATATTTCCAAGATGATTAAGATAACACCACGAAAAAGCTCATGGTATTCTGCTTGAACCAGGAACACAGCCAGTACTACATAGTGGGTGGGAGGAGGAGGTATTTTTAAAAATAAAATGTGGATTCTCTCTCCTACACAAAGAATTTAAATGATTTGCATGAAAGTTGAGTGTTAATAGAAAAAAAACAACAACAGTATATACTGGACTTTTTTATACTTTTTAGAATATGGGAGTGATCATTCAACCACCCTGGCTAAGGCTTTGGTTTGAATCTAGAAAAATATTTCAAAAATTAATAGCACATTATTATAATTAGCCTTGTCCATTAGGGCAATTTTGTCTCTCAATCTTGTTGTGTCATTACAAACCTACTAAGTGTTGAATAATATACCAATGTCAGAAGTAAATTGATCCTTCTATTTCACTAATATGCAAAATTAAACAAACTGAAGAAATTACTTCATGTTAAGAAACTTTGCTTGTGAAAATATCTTTAACGCAATTTAATAATGCTTCTCAAAAGTATAATATCTGTAAAATATATAAAAATATACATAGGATGTTCTCTACGATAAGTACTTTTCCTTTAACTGCAAACTTTCTGCTCTCTTGCTGGTGCCTTTATTGGGCAACAGTGTATTCATTCATTTGCAAAATGTGTTACACTTGCATAAAGATTACACCAGTGCCTTTCCTAGTCTGTATAGTCTTTAACAGGGGTGTAATGCTGCTGGAGCACTGCTCTCACATCTCGTATTGAAGTTGAATCCTATATATAAAAAAATACGTTGTTCAGTTTACATTCAAAGTAAGTGTCCTTCAAAACCATACTTTCACAGTGTCGGAGAAAATTACTAG